ATCTACCCTAAGAATCAGCTATTCCTCGTTTATTTATTCCTAAGGAATCGGCACGAAGTCCATCGTTACCAAGGGTTATAGATTATAACCGGTGAACACGTAGTCCAAAACATCTGCTAAACACTTAGTTAAAAAGCAACTAGTGAACATACTCAGTTCAAAATACCTAGTGAACACACTCAGTTCAAAAATACCTAGTGAACACACTCAGTTCAAAAATACCTAGTGAACACACTCAGTTCAAAAATACCCAATGAGCACCTAGTTCAAAAACACCTACAGGTTACGACCCTGCTAGCGTTCCACCTGACTGTCTAGTATCGTCCATGGTCATCATCTATACTCCACTAGATGACTGGATCACTGTCAACATTGATGTATTCCATCGTGTTATCAACAACTACTTCATCTACCCATGTTTTACCCTACACATTTTGTAGATATAAAATACATATACAGTTTAAATCATTTAAAACATGTATAAAAATCTTTCACCCAGCATAGGCAGCAAGTATTCAGACAATATGCACACATAGCACGTAATTTATATTAAAATACTTCATATCTATGTGTAAGATGAAAAGGACTATGCACTCACCTGAAAGGTGGTGACTCAGCACTCAGACAGCGTTTCGATACTCTCAAAACAATTTCCTTCGATAAAACCTAGTATCAATACCACTAGGGTTTAGTCTAATGATAACCGCGACAAATTAATAGTCTGACTATTATTATATTATATAAGCGTTAAATAACACTCAATATAACTCATAATAATAGCCCAAATAATTATTTTAAGGACCTAATAACATTCCTATAAGTATTCGAAAGCTATATTAAAAATTGCGTAAGCGTAGCTCACTTACAACGAATTTTATCAAAAACCGGAACTTTATTTGGAGCAGCGTTTCGAAACCGAAAGACACTTTTTCTCGGGACTCTGGGAGCCTCGGGGCTTCCCTCGGGAGCTAAGGGGTTTAACTAGGGCTTAGGGGGGTTTAGAAACCCTAGAGAGAGAAAGAAATCTATAGAGAAAGGAAATGGTGTGTGAAATTCGGAGGAGTTCGGGCCCCTTTTATAGGCGCCAGTAGCCTCGGTTACGCTGGGCGTACACCTTGGATAAGGTTGCCAGCCGAAGCCAGCTGTCTCGCACCGTCGGATGGATCAGACCGAAGTTAAGCGAGGCGTAACTTCTTCGTACACGGGGCGTAATAGCGAGGGTGGTGTGTCACTCATCTGAAGCGGGTACCGAGCCAGCGGTGGAGGATTTAGATTGTGCCACGTCATCGATTCTTCATCAGTTCTCGCAGTTTCATGCTTCAACTTTAAAAATTCGTAACTTTCGTGTATAAGCTCCGTTTTCGACGTTCTTTATATCCACGCGAAGGCGGGAACGTACTCTACAACTTTCGTTTAGACTCCGTCGGCTAATTTTGACTCGATTTTAAATTTTATATTATTAACAGGCCGGGACAGGATTGGTCCGTTAAATTCTCATAACTTCTTCATCCGATGTCCGTTTTCGCCCATCTTTTTCTTGTTACGCTACTATTAACGAGATCTTCGATTCTCGTTTAGGTTGTGTCGGCTAAAAATCATCCGATCTAACATTCGAATTTCGGGTTGTACACTGCTAATCCGAAACATCGAAAAATCATAACTTCTTCATACGAAGTCAGATTTGGGCGTTCTTTTTATCGATGTTCTTAGTTTAACATATTATACGAAATTCGTTTAGATTGATAAGGCTAAATCTTGCTCTATCGTAAATCCACTATTTACGCTTCCCGGAATCGTGTCTGCTCCGTCGCGAAACTTCAACGGGTCATAACTTCTTCGTTATAACTCGGATTTCGGAGTTCTTTATATGTACGGAAACCTTGTAACATATACTACAACTTGGATAAGATTATTTATTCTATATAATCTTTTGTCTAAAAGTCGTTTTCGACCCTTATTGCCTCTAAATTGACTAGCCCGGATCTGCGGGCGTTACAGATGATAACGGAATAAAATAGGTTTGCGTATCGAAAGATATGTTTCGACTTGAGCAGTCGGAATAATGGTTGTAATTGAAACTTATGTTTCGACGGGTTGAGTGATTGCAAAAAGGCTTGGAATCGAAAGTTGGTATTTCTATTTCAGGTCGAAAGAAGATGAGATTTCGACTGTTGTTATGTGTTCCGTTCGTTAGTTCATTGTATCTTGCTTCTAATTAAGCAGGAGACCTTGAGTAAGAGTTATGCCCACTTGGACCCTGGTTATCATCCATAATCTGTAAGTGAGCTACACTTACTCTGCCCTTACGTAATTTGTAATTATAGTCATATTTGTTGTTATGAACCTATAATGAAGATTCATCAGTGATTCCAAGTCATATACTGATTGATCTACTTATAGGAGTTGTTTAAAATGTTTATATCAGCTTGGTTGTTGGATTTCAGAAAGACTATATGTCAAATTGGTCTTGCCCCCTAACTATCCTGCCTGACTGATCCTTATTTGATAGAATTATTAGTATTTATTAGAATGATTGATAGGTCTAGATTGTCTCTACTCGCGTAGAATATTATACTAAGACATGGTCATAATGATACCAGGTCACGTCAAAAGAAATGTCAGTTGCTAGAAGCGAAACTCTGCCCGAATTTCAAGTTAACACTTTAACAAGTGAGTGCATGGTTACTTTCAATCTTACGCATAGATATAAGTATTCTAAATGCTTAATTGCTAAATGCGCTATCTTTGTTGTTTAATGTAGTACAAATATGATTACTACTTAATTTATTGGTATGTTTGACATACTTAATAATATGATTAGGTAGTGAGAGATTGTGCAAAATAATAAATGAGAGGTTGTGATAGGGTTGTGTGAAATAGTGGTTGCGATAGGTTAGAGAAAGAGACATGTGAGATAATAAGTCGTGTCTGTCGTGTCTATCTCAAGTACTTTGTACTGTCATGGTAAACCCAAGTACTTTTTTATTGTCATGCTAAACCTATGTACTTTTGTACTGCGATGCTAACCCAAGTACTTTTGTACTGCGGTGCTATACCCAAGTACTTTGTATTGTCGTGCCTGTCGTGATTATACAAAAACTACTCATGTACTGTCGTGTTGCCGCGAGTATTATCATATCATCGTACCTAATCATCTAGAAATTATAGTTATCCGCTAATAAAGATCATTTAGGAAAGATCCCTTAAGATCATAATAAAATTAGTAAATGAGAGTGATATGAAATGGGGGTAATTAGGTTATTTGAATGTTGATGGTTATATAATTAAAAATTATAATATCGTGAGTTGAAAACCCTATATATTAACCTGAGCCACTCAACGTGTTTGTATCAAAGGAAACAATAATGATGATGCCATAGAGATTTGAGGAACACTAGACTATATTAAGATGTTGTAAGTCTTCGTTTATAGTTACGTTGCTTGTATCACTTATAGGACATCACAAGATTTTAATAAATCAATGAAAAACATTCATTTGGTAATATTTTATGGAACAAATTCTACATATATAAATAAAAACTCTGATTTTAAAATAAACATAAATTGCTAACCGTGAAAATAAGAATATCACAAATATATAATAAAAATTTCCCAAAACACGATACTGTTAGGTAGAACCAATGGGTATACAATTGCATACCATATTCAAAAACATACATCCGTTCCTTCTCGTTGGAAATATTTATCAAAACCTAACTTTATTTGATGGACGCTAAAAATAACATTCACCTTCATCATTATTTTGTTCGCCATTTACAATCTTTCACACTAATTCCTGCCACACTGGTCCGGTCCGAGAGCGTAACTAGTCCGACTCGATTTAAATGCTCACCCTACATGTATCTGTTACAAATGTATTCAGTTTAACAAGATAGTGAAGGTTCTCTAAATTGTGTCCATAACATGATTGACAATTCAAAAATACAAAATTTCTTAATGTTCTTTTTCTTTAACAGAAGTAGTGGTAAAATATTATAATTCCGGGGAGCAAATAGAGTAATGACACAGATTTGGGCCATAACTTAATACCCTATGTTTTCTTTTGGGCCAAAACAATCTAGTCTCCATGATCCGATTAGGACAAGGCGGGTAAACCATAATTCAGAAAAAGGAAACGCAGAAACTCGGGAAGATGAGGAGACAATCGTTGCTCAACGGCTTTGCGATGAAGATGACGAGGGGACAATCGGCATTCTCAACTCTCAACGACGCCCTTTAGGATTTCTGACTCTGGAATTAGGGTTAGGAGAGTTCGAACGCTCAACATTCTGTGTATGTCATAACTCTGAGTTTTTCTGATTCTGTGATTAGAAATAAGTTAACCTGATTTATTGATTAGGACTGTCCAAAAACACATTACACATTCACCAAAACCGATGGGTACGGATCACGTTGGCCATGCATTACACTAATAAAAGCTTTCCATTTGTAGTGTGTATTGTCACAATTTTATGTTCGAAAATGCTGCAGATTTTTCGGGGATCACAATAAATATTTCTTGGTTTCGTCTTCTTTGGTTTTTTTCCCTTTCGGGTTTTGCACTTTCATGTTCTTGTATTTGTGTTCTTTATTGTTTCCTTTTGGATATCTTTTAACAGCGAGCGCTTGATCCATGAAGAAATTCTAATCCGACTACGCAATATCGATTCGTAATTCGTTGGCTTCTGTTTTATGATTTGATTTCGGAAGAATTTTGGATTTTGCAATTTCGGAATCATAATTGTCTTTCCTTTTCTGGGTTTTTTAGATTTACGTTATTCGAGTTCATATGTAAAGAAATCATCCACAAATTACACAATTTTGATCTTTGAATCATAATTCCCTTCTCATCACCTAAACTCTGTCATTCCACAAACTATCTCCACATCATGAGCTTTTAAATCATAACGTTCGTCATTTTTTTTTATCAGATTATGCAATTTTGAATCATAATTGTTGGAATCGTAGACAAAATTGTGTGATCTGATACGAGAGTGTAGATGGGTATAATCAGCGCCATTGCTGGGGCTTTCGGTTTTGGAATTGGGATCACACTTGGACTTGTGATTGGTTATTTTCTCTTCATCTTCATCCAATCATCTGATGTTGAGGTCAGTTATATTTAATAAATAATAATCTTCCCTCTTTCTTCTGAATCGATTAAGATTTTGATGTTTATACAACATTAATTCGTTTGCGTTTCCTCCTCAAGAATCCTGAAATTAAGCCTTTGGTGGATCAAGACGAACCAACTCTTCAAAGAATGTTCCCTGAAATACCCATTTGGGTGAAAAATCCCGACCATGATCGTGTAACTTCTTGCTTCTTCATTATTTCGTTTTTTATATCTCGTTTATTTTGTATGATTTTAATAATGATTCATTATTTATCCATAGGTTGATTGGCTTAACAAGTTTCTTGAATTAATGTGGCCATATCTAGACAAGGTATAACATAACATGTTAAACCCCAAATTATTATTAAGAACATAATATTTCCAATGTTTTTGTAGGCAATTTGCAAAACCGTTTTGGCAACAGTTGAACCAATGATCAAAGAACAAACTCCACAATACAAAATCGATGAAGTTGAATTCGATTCACTTACATTAGGCAGCTTACCTCCTACTTTTCAAGGTTAAACTTTTTTACATAATTACATCTTTTGATACTTAAGTTGTTACTTTTTTACATGTTTACGATGTTAGTTTCTTTAATTCAGGAATGAAAGTTTATACTACAGATGAAAAAGAGATAATTATGGAACCATCGTTCAAATGGGCAGCAAATCCTAACATTCATGTAGGTGTTAAGGCCTTTGGGCTAAGACCCACTATTCAGATTGTTGATTTGCAAGTATTTGCATCTCCAAGAATCACTTTAAAGCCATTGGTTCCAACTTTTCCATGTTTTTGTAAAATTCTGGTTTCTCTAATGGACAAGGTTAGCGATTTTCAAGATTGGATTCTAAAAAATGTATATATGTATGCAACTTTAGTATTTCAAAGTTCAAAACATTACGTAATGTTTATATATCTTTTACACAGCCTCATGTTGATTTTGGAGTAAAATTAATCGGGGCAGATCTAATGTCGATTCCTGGTTTGTATGGGTTCGTTCAGGTGTGTTTGTTTGTTAAAACGAAAATGGGGTTAAAGATTTTGGGTTTTTACTGGTGAAATTTGTTTTTCTCTTCAGGAACTCATCAAAGATCAGGTAGCGAACATGTATTTATGGCCGAAAGTTCTTGAGGTAGCAATTTTGGATCCTACAAAGTAAGGATTTGATTTTGATCTTATTCCATTTTCGTTTGCAAAAATAAAGAATTCTTCATGTTCGAAAATGGCAGAGCTATGAAGCGACCTGTTGGGATGCTAAACGTGAAAGTTGTAAAAGCAATGAAGCTTAAAAAGAAAGATCTTTTGGGTGCTTCTGATCCTTATGCGAAGTTGACACTAACAGATGATAAGTTGCCATCGAAGAAGACGACTGTAAAACACAAGAACTTGAATCCTGAATGGAATGAAGAATTCAATCTAGTTGTGAAAGATCCTGAAGTTCAAGCTCTAGAAATCATGGTGTTCGATTGGGAATCGGTAGGGAAGCATGATAAAATGGGGATGAATCGTGTACCTTTGAAAGATCTAACTCCCGAAGAACCAAAAACCCTAACTCTCGATCTACTCAAGAACATGGATCCCAAAGATTCGCATAACGATAAATCAAGAGGTCAAATCGTGGTTGAAGTCATGTACAAACCCTTCGGAGAAGACCAGATGCCGACTGACGTTGAAGAAGTTAGTGCGATGCAGAAAGCTCCGGTGGGAACTCCGGAGGGCGGCGGCTTGCTTGTTGTTATAATCCATGAAGGCGAAGATCTCGAAGGAAAACATCATACAAATCCTTCCGTTCGTGTGCTTTTCCATGGCGAAGAAAAAAGAACTAAGGTTTGTTTCCCCAATTCAAAATTGACGCTAATTGCTTCTTGAATTGCGTGTTTTTTTTACAGTTTTTTTTGGGTGATTTACAGCCGATGAAGAAGACTCGAGATCCGAGATGGGAAGAAGAGTTTACATTTACGTTAGAAGAGCCACCGACGAATGAGAAAATGCATATCGAAGTCGTTAGTACTTCGAAACGGATGGGATTAATTCATCCGAAGGTAAGATCATCAATGGATTTTTGTAAACATTGTATGATTTAGGGTTTTAATTCTTCTGTTTTTTCAGGAATCTTTGGGTTATGTCGATATAAGCCTTGCGGATGTTGTGAACAACAAACGGATCAACGAGAAATATCATCTGATCGATTCCAAGAATGGGCGGCTTCAGGTGGAATTGCACTGGAGAACTTCCGGCTAGATTGCCGCCGGTAATGGTGACTCACGGCGACGAAAGTTATTGATATTCATAGGGTTTAAATAAAGACGATGAAAATGAAATAGTATACCATGCTATCTTGAAATTTGAAAACCGAAATATATATATGATATAGGAGATTAAATCTTGACCGTTGGTTAGTTTTGATATTTTTAACGATACTAGTGGATGTAAAACGGCTAGGTGATCTTAATTTATAAATTAAAATTAACAAAATTACACGTGCTTTGCAAAAGGCAACTTTAAAATGATATTTTTATTATTTTTTTTATTTTTTTAAAGCAAATTAGTATGAAAATATTAATTATGAAAAATATTATCATATTAAATTCAAAATATATTTATTATGGAGATTATTAATGTATTTTATATTTAATTATGATAATATTCTTTACAATTAATATATTATATATTTAATTATTATAATATTTGTAATTAATTAATGTTTTTTTTATGTGTTTTTAGGATATATATATATATATATATATATATATATATATATATATATATATATATATATATATATATATATATATATCTTATTCTAATAAAACAATCCTTATAATCCTATGTGGCATCTTCTCGTGCTAAAGAAATTTCAAAGTAAACTACCTGATTTGCCCTCAACTTTTAAAACCTCTAATATCTTTATTCCTACGTGGCATCCGTTTATTCCCCAAATCTCTCATTTATTTTGGAAACTTGGTTCATTTTCTTTGATTAGATCGTCAACAACATGCCCCTTTAATATGTTTATGTTCCTTTATGTGATTCGGTTTCTGATTTTAAAGTTCTCGGCATAAAATTAGGGTTTTACCGAAATTGATTTCAATCTACATCTCAAGAAATCAACAACCATGTTGCAGCTTTTTATGGATTACGAATACACCTCTCTATCTCATTCCTTCTCTTATCTACCAGAGAATTGATATGGTTCAAGTTTTCCTGAGGGTTAGTTACAATTAAATTTAGAATAATTATACAAATGGTCCTTATGGTTTAGAATATTTCTCCAAATCTACCAATCCTTAATCGATTATCAATCTCAAAGAAAACTTAAAATTAGAATAGTTAAAGGTTAATTTAATAAGTGGAAATCATCTCTAATTCAAAACTTATTTCGATTCTTTCAACATAACATTAATAGAATGAAAAGACATTAAAGTCACCGTCCATTAATACCAATCAAATCAAAGAAAGAAATTAAATCAAAATGAAATGAATAAACAATCGGCATAATTTGAATCAAGCATTAAAACCGCCATCCATGAAAACCACCGTCCATGAACCTTTATCGACTCCAAAACTATATAAAGAATTAAAACTAAACGGTTCTAGCACCACCCAAAACATTCCATGTTGCTATTTCTACACACTCTCTGCATCTCTTTGAAGACAAACACCGGACCATCGGACACAGTCGCCGGAACCACCACGGTGTTATGCATCACCGCTAAATACTCAACCATGTCTCTCTATATCTCTATGTTCACACCCATGTGCCACCACCCACAACTGCCTTTAATCTCCATACACTTGTGTTTTACCAACTTCAGACGCTAACCATAACAAAACACTAGATGTAAAATCCATAGCCCAATAATTAGAAGAGACTATGACTTTAATGAAGATCTAAGAATAGAAGGATAAAAGCATTTGGATAAAATTTCCAAGAGGTTAGATGCCTGTCAATAATATTGGCATTAATGATGTAATAAGTTTGGGAAAAGTGATATAGAAGTAGGTCTTACATCAAAACATATAAAGAA